AGGGTTGGGGGGGAGGGTCTCCAAGGTCAAAATCGCCTCCCAGAATCCTTTGAGCTCCTCATTTCCCTTTTCTCTCCCATGACCCCACTCCTTTTTTTTGATGTTCTTTTCTATAGGGTGAATCCAAACGCATCACTTTAGTTCTCCAACAACCGCCGGGCGGTAACGCACCCCCTGGTCAACGCCACGTGGTATTGGGTAGTTTACCGGGTAAAATCGTTTTACAAGGCAACCAATTGGCTGCTCTTGGTGCTCAAACCAAAGGGTCACCGGGTCAACCGGCCAAGGTGGTCACCATCCAACTTCAAGTTCAGCAACCTCCCGCCGGCCAATCGGGAGCTCCTCAGAAGATCCAAGTCCTCCAACAACCCGCCGGCAGTGGACAACCGGCACCAGTAGCAGTTTCTTCCGTGCCGCAGGTGGTGGGGGGCGTTGGGCAACGGTTGACGGTGCCGTTGAAGGTGGTTTTGCAACCGCAGGTGAGTGTCGATGCGGTTCTGAGGTGGTTGGGGGAAGGGGAGGAGCTTTTGGGGTCTGGTTGGTGGTGGGTGCTCTTGGTTGGGTGGTCCTGGCATTGTGTCCGAGCGTGGGTGCTGGTGTGGGCAACTCTTGGTTTTGATTGGATCCAAGTCTTGATTTTGGTTGACCTCAACTCTTGGTGCTGGTGTTGAGCCCAACTCTTGGGATTGGTTGGAGCCAACTCTTAGTGTCGGAGTTAAGCTCAACCCTTGGCCCTGGTGTTGGGCCCAACCTTGGTCTCCGTTGAATCCAACCGAGGACCAAATTTGGGTGCGACTCTTGACCGTTGCTTTGTCCCCAACCTTGACGCCGTTTTTACCCAGCCTTGGTGCTGTGAAGTCCAACTGCGATCTCCTTTACGCCCAACTTTGATGCCACCTCAAATTTTCGCCTTTTCCTCATAGGCCGGCTCATCTCAGGGAGGTTCTCCTGGTTTATCGGTGGTGAAGGTGTTGAGCAGCACCGAAGTGGCGGCTTTGACCGGTCCTGGTTCACGAGGCGCCTCAGAAGAAAGCCGGAAATTGGAACACCAAAAGAAACAAGAAAAAGCCAACCGGATCGTAGCTGAAGCCATTGCCCGTGCCCGCGCCAGAGGCGAGCAGAACATTCCCCGTGTCCTCAACGAGGACGAGCTACCGAGCGTCCGCCCCGAAGAGGAAGGTGAACGCAAACGCCGCCGGAAAGGAACTGGTGAGCGTGGTGGAGCCAAAGAGGAGAGACCTCGGAAGGGTAAAGGTCAAGGTGGTTCCGGCAAGAGTAAAGGACGGAGCAAACCGAGGTGAGATTTGGATTTTGGGTTGGTTTTTTTTTTTTCTCGGCTTCAAAAAGTTGTGGATTTTTCCCCAGATTTGGGTGGGAGGGTGGTGGTGAGGGGCGTGGCCTCCTTGGAGTGGGCCTGGCGTTGTTGCCCAACCACGGTCTTCGTTGTTGTCCACCAAACCATGCTCATCTGACCCCTGACCCTTGACCTTCATCATTCTTCAACCTTGGTCCTCGTCATCCCCCAACCCTTGACCTTTGTCATCATCCAATCTTGTTCCTCATTGTGCTCAAACCATTGACGTTCATCATTTTTCAACCTTTGATTTTCGTCATCCTACAAGCCATGACCTTTGTTGTTTTCTAACCTTGATCTTTGTCATCCTCGAACCCTTGACCTTCGTCATCCCTCAAGCTTGTCCCTGCTTGTCCTCCAACCCTTGACCTTCGTTGTCCTCCAGCCTTGGTCCTCGTCATCCCCTGAACCCTTGACCTTCGTCATCCCTCAAGCTTGTCCTCCAACCCTTGACCTTCATCATTTTCCAACCTTTTCCCTCTTTGTTCCCTGAACCCTTGACCGTCATTGTCCCCCAACCTTGTCCCTCCTTGTCCCCCAACGCTTGCCCTTCGTCATCCTCCAACCTTGTCTCTCATTGTCTCTGAACCCACGATCTTCGTCATTCTCCAGTCCATGACCTTTGTTGTATTCTAATCTTGATCTTTGAGCACGACAAAGGTCAAGGATTGGAGGATGATGAAGGTCAGTGGTTCGAGGATGGTGAACGCTAGACCTTCGTTGTCCTCCAGCCTTGTTCATCCTTGTCCCCGAACCCATGACCTTCGTTGTGCTCCGTACCTTGACCTTTGTCATCCCCCAACCTTGTCCTTCCTTGTCCCCAAACCCTTGATCTTCGTTGTCCTCCAACCTTTGACCTTTGTCATTCTCCAACCCATGACCTTTGTTGTATTCTAACCTTGACCTTCATCGTCCTCCAGCCCTTGACCTTCGTCATCCTCCAGCCTCGTCCCTCTTTGTCCCCCAACCTTGACCTTTGAGTAAATCCCCCCCGAGAATGGGTCCATCTGTCCATTTCCCCCCCCGTCTCCTAACGTCCCATCTCCTCCCGGTAGCACCATCACGCCAGTGGTGGGGAAGAAACGGAAACGCAATGCTTCCTCCGACAACTCGGATGCTGAAGTGATGCCGGCACAGTCACCACGGGAGGAAGAAGAAACCAGCGTGCAGGTACGGAGACGTCACTGACAAAAAGCTGTGCCGGCAGGGAATCGGCGCCATTTTGGCAAGTGGGAGCTGCATCCTCTCCGCTTTGTCTTTTCCAGAAGCGACGATCGAATCGGCAAGTCAAACGGAAAAAGTACACTGAAGATTTGGACATCAAAATTACCGATGATGAGGAAGATGAAGAGTTGGATGTGACGGGGCCGGTTCGACCTGAACAACCTCCGGTTCCGCAGCCCCCCGTGCTGGAGCCGGAGCCGGAAGGCGAGACGTTGCCCTCCATGCAATTTTTTGTGGTGAGGAGATCTTCGTTTTATTTTGTCAGATGTCGTCTGTGGTGTCCACCGTCATTTTCATTTTCTTTTTTCCATCATCGTGTTCATTTCCTCTCCAGGAAAACCCCAGCGAGGAAGACGCGGCCATTGTGGACAAGGTCCTTTCCATGAGGGTGGTGAAGAAAGAGGTGAGAGATCCCTCCGTGACGGTGCTGGCGTTTCGGGGGAGGGTCTTTTGCTGACGTTTTGCCGATGTTAATGTCCAACTCGATTCTCTGCAGCTTCCGTCGGGGCAGTTAACAGAATCAGAAGAGTTTTTCGTCAAATACAAGAACTAGTAGGTGGTCAAAGGAGGTGGGATTCGGTGTAGGGCAGTCCCCCTTGGGATCATGGGAATGTTTGGACCCCTCCCACTCACCGATTTGCTCCTCGTTGGGTTGCGACGTTGGGTTGAGCTCTTCAAACCCAATGGTGAGGCCAACTCTCACCGTCGTGAGCGGGGACAACTGGTTGACAATCAACGTTGCTGAAAAATGGTTTTACCGACCCCAAAATAGCTTCATCGGGGTGGGGGGAGGTGGGTTTTGCCGTGTGGAGGTGACATCCCCGTGTCATCGCTCCCCATTACCTCACCAGCTCCTACCTCCACTGTGAGTGGGCGACCATTGACCAATTAGAGAAGGACAAGAGGATCCACCAGAAACTGAAACGTTTCAAAACCAAGATGACTCAGATGCGACATTTTTTTCACGAGGTGCTGGTTTTGCAGAGGGAGGGGTAGCAAGGGATTTTGGGAAGAAGTTGAAGATTCGGGGAGACCTCTCCTCGCGCCCTCCAACACTTCCATCTTCTCCCCCCCCCCCCCCTCCCCCCAAAAAAAGGATGAAGAACCCTTCAACCCCGACTACGTGGAGGTTGATCGCATCTTGGATGAATCCCACAGCATCGATAAAGACAACGGGGAGGTGAGCAGGGAGAAGATGAGGCCGTGGTGAAGCCCCATCCCCCAAAAATAGCGTTCAGCATCGCCGACACCCCCCCTTTTTTTTTTTTATGTCCCCCTGCCGCCGTTGGTTGCAGCCGGTGATCTATTATTTGGTGAAATGGTGTTCCCTACCCTACGAGGACAGCACTTGGGAACTCAAAGAGGACGTAGACGAAGGAAAAATCATGGAATTCAAACGTATCCAAGCCCGACACCCGGAACTCAAACGCTTGGTGAGGATCCAGGTCTTCTCCCGTGTCCCCCGATTTCGGGAATTGCCAATGTTGTGCCCCATGTTTTTTAATTTATTTCTCTCCATCAGCCTCGTCCTCAAGCTGGTTCGTGGAAGAAATTGGAGCTGTCGCACGAGTACAAAAACCACAACCAACTTCGCGAATATCAACTGGAAGGGGTCAACTGGTTGCTCTTCAACTGGTACAACAGGTGAGTGATGGAAGAGGGAATGATGGGAAGGATGACACGGGGTGGGTGGGGGAACATAACCAACCAATCGATCGCTTCCTTCACCTCCCCGCAGGCAGAACTGCATCTTGGCCGATGAAATGGGTTTGGGCAAGACCATCCAATCAATCGCTTTCTTACAAGAAGTTTACAACGTGGGGATTCGCGGTCCTTTCTTGGTCATTGCGCCGCTTTCCACCATCACCAATTGGGAACGAGAATTTAATACTTGGACGGAAATGAACAGCATCGTTTACCACGGCAGTTTGGCGTCGCGACAGATGATCCAACAGTACGAGATGTACTGCAAAGACTCGCGGGTAGGTGTGGGGGTTGGGGGGCGCGTTTTTTTTCAGGAGTTGGGGCGGGTTTTTTTGGAGGTTGGGGCGTTTTTTCTTAGTTGTGGGGCGTTTTTATCTGGGAATTGGGCGTGTGTTTTTCTGGGGGGTGTGGGTGTTTTTTGTTTCCAGTCTGGGGTGTTTTTTTTCTTGGTTTTGGGGCGTTTTTAAGAATTTTACAGGTGGACGTTGGAATCGTTGCCCTAATTTCATTTTTCTCCTCCAAGGGTCGTCTCATCCCTGGGGCGTATAAATTTGATGCCCTCATCACCACGTTTGAAATGATCCTCTCCGATTGTCCCGAGTTACGAGAAATCGAATGGCGTTGCGTCATCATCGATGAAGCGCACCGTCTCAAAAACCGCAACTGCAAATTACTCGACAGCCTCAAGCACATGGATCTGGTGAGAGACAGGATTGGACGCGGAGAAGGAGATGGGGGACGTGGAGACCCCAGCTTTTCTCCGTGGGGCAGAACGGGGTTCTCTGAAGGTCTTGGTTGTGTCTGGAGATGTTTGGGCGTGGCCTTTGACAAAAGGGAGTGGTCCTGAAGGTGCGGGTGAGGGTCTTAGTTGCGTCTGGAGATGTTTGGGCATGTTCCATGCCCCAGGGGATGGTCCTGATGGTGCGTGTGAGGTCTTGGTTGCACCTGGAGGTGTTTGGGCGTGTCCCATGACAAAGAGGGTGGTCCTGGAGGTGCGTGGGGCGGTCTTGGTTGCATCTGGAGATGTTTGGGCTCATCCTGTGCCCCAGGGGATGGTCCTGAAGGTGTGGGAGGGATCTTGGTTGCACCTGGAGATGTTTGGATGTGTCCCATGCCTACCCAACCCCTAACGTTCTTCACTTCTTGGTCGTCAGGAACACAAAGTCCTGTTGACGGGCACCCCTCTCCAAAACACGGTGGAAGAGCTTTTCAGCCTCTTGCACTTCCTGGAACCTTCCCAGTTCCCTTCTGAAGCCGAATTTCTCAAGGACTTTGGAGACCTCAAGACGGAAGAGCAGGTGAGGACATCGAGATGACCTCACACCCTTTCCCAGACCGCCTGGGTCCTACCCAACCCGTGGTGACATCTTCTTGTTGGTCCCGCCTATAGGTGCAGAAGCTCCAGGCCATCTTGAAACCCATGATGCTCCGTCGACTGAAGGAGGATGTAGAGAAGAACCTGGCGCCCAAGCAAGAGACCATCATTGAGGTGGAGTTGACCAACATCCAGAAGAAATATTACCGGGCCATCTTGGAGAAGAACTTCTCCTTCCTCTCCAAAGGTGCCGGTCACACCAACATGCCCAACCTACTCAACACCATGATGGAGCTACGCAAGTGTTGCAACCATCCCTACCTCATCAACGGTGAGGAACTAAGGGTGGGCAAGGGTGTGGTGGGGTGTCCCTTGTCCTTTCCGTCACTAGTGGACAACCTCGGTAGGGCCAACACCACCCTGTCCGCGCTTCTGTTTTTTTTTCCACCAAGGGCTTGGTGGCCTTTTGGATTTGGGGTTTATCTTCGCCAACCGCTGTGGAGCCATCCGATGGGCTCAGCGTCATGGTGGAGAAGATTCTCCACCTCATCTAGTTGAGTTTTGATGACCCTCAAGTCTTGATTTGATGGGACGTCTCCTGACAAGATCTCGGGCATCAACCCCAGGGGTGGTCCTGAAGTTGTGGGAGGGGTCGTGGTTGCATCTGGAGACGTTTGGGCTCATCCTGTGCCCCAGGGGATGGTCCTGAAGGTGTGGGAGGGGTCTTGGTTGCACCTGGAGATGTTTGGATGTATCCACCCACCCCATCTCCACCCGACAGGTGCGGAGGAGAAGATTTTGGCAGAATTTCGGGAATCTTGCCACCACCACGTCCCCCATGACTTCCATCTCCAGGCCATGGTCCGCTCGGCCGGCAAATTGGTGCTCATCGACAAATTATTGCCCAAGCTAAAAGCTGGCGGACACAAGGTCCTCATCTTCTCCCAGATGGTGCGGTGCCTCGACATCCTGGAGGATTACCTCATCCAGAAGAGGTAAGAGGTGTGGGACGACGAGGTGATCGTGATGACCTCGACGTTCTCTCCGAACATGATTTCGATGACCTCATAGGTACCTCTACGAGCGAATCGATGGACGGGTACGAGGCAATCTCCGACAAGCGGCCATCGATCGGTTTAGCAAGCCCGACTCGGATCGTTTCGTTTTCCTTCTCTGCACGCGGGCAGGCGGTTTGGGCATCAACCTCACCGCCGCCGACACCTGCATCATCTTTGATTCCGATTGGAATCCTCAAAACGACCTCCAGGTGATAGGCTCCACCCTGTCACCACGAGGTTGACATCAGTGTCGTCTTCGTGCTGACTTCATTTACCTTTTTTTTAAAAATTTTTCTTTTTTTGAAAGGCTCAAGCACGGTGTCACCGGATTGGGCAAAGTAAGGCGGTGAAGGTTTATCGCCTCATCACGCGCAATTCGTACGAGCGGGAGATGTTCGATAAGGCCAGCCTCAAGTTGGGGTTGGACAAAGCCGTTCTGCAGTCCATGAGCGGTCGCGAGGGCAACATCACAGGGGTAAGGGGGGCTTCTGATGGAAACGGGGCATGAAGACGATGGGGATGGGGTCTTCCAAGGGAAGTGTGGTCTGAAGACCATGGGGATGGGGTTCTACAAGGAAAATGGGGTCTGAAGATCACGGGGATGAGATCTTGAAGGAAAATTGAGTGTGAAGACCACGGGGATGGGGTCTTCAAGGGAAGTGTGGTCTGAAGACCGTGGGGATGAGGTTATCTAAGGGAAATCGGGTTTGAAGACCACAGAGATGAGGTTCTCCAAGGGAACTACATTGTGAAGACCCTAATCTTGAGGAACATGGGATTTTGGGGGTGTTTGGGCTGGGAGCAGAGCTCCATGGGATTTTTGAGTCACCAAGTTGGTCACCTACGTCCCCCCACCCTCCCCTTTCTTCTCCACCCTCCTGGTAGATCCAACAGTTCTCCAAGAAGGAGATCGAGGACCTTCTACGCAAGGGGGCCTATGCGGCCATCATGGAAGAGGATGATGAAGGTTCTAAGTTCTGCGAGGAGGACATAGATCAGATTCTCTTGCGTCGGACCACCACCATCACCATTGAGAGCGAGGGGAAGGGTTCCACCTTCGCCAAGGTATCTCCACGTCCTCTTCCCACCTGTTTTTCCACCTGGGTGGTGGAACATCTCCCAACTTCTCATCCAATCCCAGGCGAGCTTCGTGGCTTCCGAAAACCGGACCGATATCGCTTTGGATGATCCCAATTTTTGGCAGAAGTGGGCCAAGAAAGCCGACCTTGACCTGGATTTATTGAACAGCAAGGTTGGAGAAGACAACTGTGGGAGGTTGCGGTTGGTGGGGTTTGGTGTAGGACAACGTCCAATGGGTTTTCTTCATTTTGGTATCCAGAACAACCTGGTGATTGACACTCCCCGGGTGCGTAAGCAGACGCGACACTTCAGCACGCTTCGTGACGATGATTTGGTGGAGTTCTCAGACCTGGAGAGCGAAGATGAGGAGAAACCACGGTCTCGTCGTCACGACAGGCACCATCACGCCTTGCATCATGCCTATGGTCGCACTGACTGCTTCCGCGTGGAGAAACATCTCCTGGTCTACGGGTGAGGATGGGCTTTGGGTGCAGCTCTGTGGTGGTGGCAACCACGAGGTGGAAGGAGTAGTCTTGCGATGGCAACCATGAGGAGGTGCTTGGTGGAGAAGACAAACCAGGTCCAGCTCTTCTCTGGTGGCCACCATGAGGAGATTCTTGATGGAAATGGCTGTTGGGAGGTGGGGAAACCCCAACCGAGGACTTCCCTAACACCCATCTTCTCCCACCACTAGTTGGGGCCGATGGCGGGAGATCCTGTCCCACGGTCGATTCAAACGCCGTCTTTCGGAACGAGACGTGGAGACCATCTGTCGAGCCATCTTGGTCTACTGTCTTCTCCACTACCGAGGTGATGAGAACATCAAAGGTTTCATTTGGGACCTCATCAGCCCCACTGAAAATGGCAAAGCCAAGGAGCTCCAAAACCATTCGGGTGAGGGTTTACAAGGAGCTTGGGGACGACCGAGGACCTCTTGAGCTCTCACCTTGACTTTTTTGTGGTTTTCTCATGGTTTTTCTTCTTTTTCTTGTAGGTCTTTCCATCCCGGTTCCTCGTGGTCGGAAGGGGAAGAAGATCAAGTCCCAAAGTACCTTTGATGTCCATAAAGCCGAGTGGATCCGTAAATACAACCCTGACACCCTCTTCCAAGATGAGAGCTACAAGAAACATCTCAAACATCAATGCAACAAGTAGGTGGAGATTTTCTTGGAGGTCCTCTTGGTCGAGAACTTCCACCATGGTTGATCGTCTCTTCCTGTCACCTTCCAGGGTTCTTTTGAGGGTACGGATGCTCTACTACCTGCGGCAGGAGGTGATCGGGGACCAAGCGGAGAAGGTGTTGGCGGGAGCGATGGCCAAGTGAGTCCATAGGGTCTTCTTTGAGGTGCTCCAGGGTCTCTCTGAGGTGCTCCAGCCCTGTTTTGGGGTGGTTTGAGGTGCTCCAGACCCTCTTTGGGGATCTCCCAACCCATTTTGGAGTGGTTTGAGGTGCTCCAGACCCTCTTTGAGGTGGTTTGAAGTGCTCCAGCCCCATTTTGGGGTGATTTGAGGTGCTCCAGAGCATCTTTGGAGTGGTTTGAGGTGCTCCAGAACCTCTTTGCGTTGTTCCAGTCCTCTTTGGGATTCCCCAACCCCACTTTGGGGTACTCCTGACCCCACCAACCCCCCTCAAATCACACTGTTTTCACCCCCCCAACAGCGAGATCGACATCTGGTTTCCACTGGTGGAGCAGCTGGAGGTCCCGACGGCGTGGTGGGACGCTGAAGCCGACAAATCCCTCCTCATTGGGGTCTTCAAACACGGTATGTTGAGGGGGAGAGCAAATTTTGGGGTGAAACCTGGCAGAATTAGGATCATTAACAGTCTGTCCCCCC